ATACTGTGGATATCGTTATGAATCGGGTTTAAGCACAGTCTGCCGCCTTATTATTTTATTAACCGATTGAGAAAGCTCTTGTTTGTTTACAGTTTTTAATTATACCATAAAAGTAAGTTATTGAATGAGGCAATGAGCTGGTTATTATATTATAATAACACACATATTATTAACATGCTAGCGAATTCAAAATCGGGCTGGCCCAGTTCGATTTCGATATAAGCACGTATTACAGTATTACCACATAAACATTGTTGATTACTGTATATTCGCTTATTGGTTGCGATATTAGACAATGTGCATATTAAAATGTGGAACAAAAGTGCTATAATTTAGAAGCTTTAGTGCTTAGCAATAAATATTACACACTATACATACATTTTAACAGAATGCATTTGTTTGTATGAACCTTGTCAGATGACCGCTTATTTTCTTGTTTCAATTTTCGCATTATTAAGCCAATCATTTTCTGTGAAAAAAAAGTTTTTGAGATGTGGCTGTGTTAGCTAATTGGTTCATAAAACTCCGGAGGCGTTTATGTACATCACGTAATAGTTATTGTTTTGTTTCAGGACGAATTAAAGAGGCGCAGTGTTATACAACGCTATTTATAAATAACGGAAGCATATCCGGAGATGTTGATATCTGTAACTTTACCTAATCTTTTTAAAATAGTTCCTACGTTTGCATTAGTCGTTTGTTTGTATTTGAAGTGGCCTATTAACCATACGGCCAGTAGCTGCTTCTTTAAAAACACAGGTTATTAGATTAAAGTTAAGATACAGCTTCCTGTAAATTATTAAGTGTAATAAATAAAATATATATTGGTTATGAATAAAAATTTAAGAAGTCAGAGTCAGCGATGAGACGTAAATAAAATGAAAACGGCTCGTTTAGCCGTGTAAGAGTTTCAAGTAACAGACTACTTTAATAATATCTAAACTATAGTGTATTTGCACGTATCTACCTGGCCAAGTCACCGAAGTAATTATAAAAGGTCAACCGCAGAACTGCCCCAAAGCATCTTAACGAAAAGAGTATTTGGGGACTGGACTAAATGGTCTGGTTATACAAATGGCATCTCGTAGATTATTTGTTGTCATCCCCAATCAAATTTCTCATCATGCATGTACTCCCATACCATAGTCTACAAAATATATAATACATGCACAACAATAATAACATTAGACTTAGAAAACTTTGAAGCATTACTAAATAAATAATTCTCAACTATTATTATTTATTATTATTTGTTATTTACTTATTTATAAGTTCTGTTCGACCAAATATATCGCTATCCGCTAAAACAAATAATTTGATATGTGAGTCACAAGGTGATGTAAAAAATAAATCCCGATCGGTATATTGTTACACAGTTGAATCCCAATTAACATGTCTAGTTACACACCCTGTAAATATATAAACAGACGGATTTTCCAGACAATCTACCATTTTAAATATGCGCCGTAAGCCAAAAGTTCCTGTTAATTTTGATTTTACGGGGAAAAGTGCTGTCATGCTGGTTGAAAAAAAAATCGATCAGAACGAAAAAATCGGTGAAAAAAGACTGCTCAAAGTGCAAGAAAATGTTACCCGTAACAGACAGTTTAGAAGTCTCTATAAATACTTTGGAGAATCTGTCAAAAGAGCTAATCCACGCCGATTACAATAAAAATAACATAGGCTCTGTTACTAAGGATAGTATTAATAGAAAAGAATTAGCAACTATGGTAAGAATCACTTTATCTGTCAGAGTTCATGTCCAATATGTCTTCAAAATACTCAACAAAGGTTTAAAGTCTTTTTCAAGATTGCCGCGCCGTCGAAAACGTAGAACAGTTCCTAGAGAGTTAGATTTTACAGGAAATAACCCTATCATGGTGGTGGAGCATCCGAAAAAACGAAGAATGGCAGAAGAAGGTG